TACAGACTGCGTTTAAGTATACGTTCTGCGTTCTCGACTAATTTCAGCTTTAAGCTGTAATTAGTCAAGAACGTAAACCTACCGGTACATAAACCCGAGTCAGCTGACACGATCTGTCTAACCAGAGCGCCATGTAAATGAAAACTCAACACCGCAGAATTTTTCTGTAGTTGTAGCCCGTAGCGCAGAAATCTGCGGAATTCAAGCTGAAATTAGTCGAGAACGCAGAACGTATACTTAAACGCAGTCTGTATACGCAGAATTTTGTCGATTACTGGAGCCCTCAGTGTTGCTTACTACACTGTTGCCACTCATCAATGCCTTTTCATAAACTTACCCTTTCAACTACAATTTTTCGTGCTATAATAGATTTTAGCTAAATATAAACTACTTAGTTTTCAACAAAAACCTTATTCAATAGTAAATTTCAAATATTTTAAACATATTTTGAATAGGAACTTATAACTTTTTTACCATCTGTAAAACTGACGAAGTGGCAACCATCTAAAGAAGGAGAAATCAGCTGACACGGAAAAATCTAAATTCCGCAGATTTCTGCGCTACGGGCTACAACTACAGAAAAATTCTGCGGTGTTGAGTTTTCATTTACATGGCGCTTCGGTAAGACAGATCGTGTCAGCTGACTCGGGTTTACGTACCGGTAGGTTTACGTTCTTGACTAATTTCAGCTTTAGATTTTTCCGTGTCTGCTGATTTCTTCCTTCTATAGATGGTTGCCACTTCGTCAGTTTCGCAGATGGTAAAAAGTTATAATTTCGTATTCAAAATACGTTTAAAATATTTGAATTTTACTATTGAATAAGGTTTTTGTTGAAAACTAAGTAGTTTATATTTAGCTACGATATATTATAGCACGCGAAATTGTAGTTGAACAGGTAAGTTTATGAAAAGGCATTGATGAGCGGCAACACTGTAGTAAGCAACACTGAGGGTTCCAGTAATCGACAAAATTCTGCGTGTACAGACTGCGTTTAAGTATACGTTCTGAGTTCTTGACTAATTTCAGCTTTAGCATGATGCAATTATTGTATCATGACCAATTAGAACAGATCTGACCGGCTGAGAAGCAGCCATTTGTAATAGCAATTGAGAAAAAAGTGTGTGACGTTCGTAATTTTGAAGTTTGCTATTTCTGTTTTGTTTCTTTCTTTATGTGTATTTTGTCGGTGGTTTATTTCAGCGACTTTTAAGTGATTTTTTGTGCAAATGTAATTAAAATGAAGTGCGCTGTGATTGGATGCGAAAACACGTACAAAAATAATAAATTGGTTAGCACAAACACGTGCACAGCATTGCTTGCATTTTTTCTTATGTTTCGTCTTCATATTCTTTGCTTACTTTTCACGGAAAATAACACGGCGCCGAAATTACAAACGTCAGCCAGAAAATTACATTTTTCTTTTGCTTCATCTTGTCAGATCTTGTGTAGTTGGATCATGGCTTTCCTTTATGGCCTTTCGTTAAAGGGGCGCTGGGCGAAAGGTAAGTGGGCCCACCTTTTTGGAGAGGGAATAAACCGCCATTGACAAAAATGCAACCCCCGACCACCTAGGTCCCCTATGGTTCCCTACCCCTTACAAAAATTGCCAAAAATCACAATTTTCATTTGCGTTTATTCGATTGAAAAATTTTAAATATTCATTTGCACAATATATTTTTATATACACATTTTTATAAAACACCCAGTAACCATAATAGACATCACTGGGGCGGCAGCCCTAGGTTTACCACACAGAAAGGGAATTCTAGTTACCTCATCCTTTCCCAAGGTTACATCACTGGGGCGGTAGCCCCAGTTAGGTCACACTGAAAGGAGAATTCTACGCAGTAAGGGTTATAATCCCTAAGCGCGGCCGGTTGGAATTCTACGCAAAAATGCTGTGGACGCAAGTAAAAATTGCGATTTTTGGCAATTTTTCTAAGGGGCCGTAGGGAACCATAGGGGGCCTAAGGTGGTCGGGGGTTGCCTTTTTGTCAATGGCGGTTCATGCCCTCTCCAAAAAGGTAGGTTGGAGGTGTCAGGCCCACTCCCCCTTCGCCCACCGCACCTTTAACCAACGGCCATAATGGAAAGTCTCCCCACAACAACATTTACCGTTGGTATGAACTCATCGTGTCATCAATATCTTCTTTATCTTTTCATATTCGTATGTATATGTATACCCTGTATACCAGGATTGCATAGAATTCTGAAAGGTTTCACAACTTTTTTTAAGAATTTTCGTTAAGAAATCGTATAGAAATTTCTTTACTAGTTCTTGTCAACCGCTTCATATGTTTTTCTTTAAAGATTCCTAAAAGAATCGTAACAAATTTCCGATACTCTTAGGCTGCATTTCTTTATTCATTCTGAACGTTTGGAATAAACTTTTTTGTTTACTTATTCTTTAGAACGTTCCTGACGATATGTTAACGTATATTTCAATCGCATTCTGTTTATTCTGGCTGTGAAATGGGATTATCCGGAATGAATAAAGAAACGCAGCCTTAAAGATTTCGGGAGCATTTGTTGACAGGGTATATATATGTGTATTGTGGCGAATACTGCGGCAACGCGAAGCGAAAACGAAAAATAGGCAGAATGTTCGACGAATGACGTAGAGTGTTCCACAAAGAGAAACGTCAAGTTGGATGAACACTGCGAACAGCGAGAGAAAGAGAATGAGCGATAAACTTCAGAACGTTCTAGAGTTGCCATAAGTGCGAGCGCAGGTATATAAGGGCGCCGCCACAGCGAAATTAGTTACAAGTCAGCAAGCTTCAAGAGAAGTGAGTTGCGAATAAGCAAGCTATAAGTTTAGCAAATCGTTGTTATTGCTTTAACAAGTACTGTAAAGTCTTTTTACTGTATTAGCGAGTGTTATAAATTGTTTGTTGTACAATAAAGTTAATTGTACTACAATTTGGTTATCGTTAGCATTTATTTAACAATCCAGCGATACGAACCGGACGATTTGGGAAATCCGGACGAGGTTTCAAGAATAATCGTAACATTGTTAAATAAATCCCAGAGGAGATCCTTCCGAAAATGGCAAAAATTCATGACTTAAAGATTGAGGAACTTAAACAGGAGTTGGAAAAGCGTGAAGTGGCCACCTCCGGAAGAAAGGTGGAGTTGTTATCCCGGTTGCGAGAGGCTATGGAAGCAGAAGGCATCGACGTGGACAAATAGGACTTCCAGGGTAAACCCGACGATACATCCGCAAAAGACGAACCGAAGGATGAGGTTGCTTGTTGGTCGACGGGTTTGCAGCAGACATCCGGGAAGGTTGAAGAACAGCAAAAGGCTCCTAGTTCACCAACAGCTATAGACATGAGCACATTATTGGCTGAAATTTCATCCTAGTTAGTAGTGCAGGAAACACGCATGTCATCGCAGCTTGAAGCACAAAGGTCGCAGTTGTCGGATGTTTCATCGCAGATACAAGCGCTGGATACACGTATGTCATCAGCGGTATCAGCGCAGATGTCATTCCAAGTGGAACCACAGGATGCAAAGATTGCCGAAAGCCGAGGCTAAGATAGGCGAGTTGGAAGGTCGACTCCGAAACTTGCAGTTGAATCGTCCAGCTACTTCGACGAACGCTCCCAAGGTAAAGACTCCATCCTTTAACGCCACAATTCCTTTCCAGGTCTTTAAGCTCAAGTTCGAAAAAACGGCTGCATCAAATCATTGGAGCATGGAGGATAAATCCGCTGCACTGTTCGTTGCATTGAAAGGACCTGCAGCAGAAATCTTGCAGACTGTTCCCGACTGTGAAAGGAACTGTTACGATGCGTTGATAAGTGCCGTGGAGAGACGTTATGGTAGCGAGCAGAGGGGACAGATTTACCAGATGGAGCTGGAGAATCGCTGCCAAAAAGCCAATGAGACTCTACAAGAATTCGCTTCAGAGATCGAGAGGTTGGCTCACTTTGGTATTGGAGACGCATTTGGTGAACACCTCGAAAGGGTAAAGATCCAGAGGTTCATCAACGGAATGCGAGACATGTATACCAAGCGAGAGACGTACGCAAATCCAAAGTCCACTGTTGCTTACTAAGTGAATAGTAAAAACATATCTTTTAAAAAATAATTTTATTGCGTTTCAAACCAGGGAAAAAATGTGAATGAAAGTTTTTCAAAAATTTACAAATTAAAAAACTTTTCCAAAAGTATTCTTAGATTAAAAAAATTGTAAAACAAGTGGAGGTCCCGCATAGCTCCCCTCTTTGAAACTGCAAAGAAAAAACAATAAACATTTAAAGTCCATTTGATTGAAAAACTGGTTTCAAACGGTCTATAGAAATTTTTTCAATTGTATCTTTAACTCAGATTTTAAAGTATTTAGGGAATCACTCGAGGACTGCATATGGTCCTGAATATTTAAAATCCAAAGATGACCGACCAGTATCAACACGGATCCAGACATGTGTGCAGGTATTTAAGTCTTTGCTAATAAAAACTGTCTTGCTGGAATGCGCCGATGTTGTTGGAACAGGTTGTAAATTTTTCATAATCGTTTTTAAAGTTGAAACGAAACTTGTAGGATCTCCAATTGGTTGTGGTTGAAAGAAATCTCCTGGAAGTTGAATAGCTTCTCCATATATAAGTTCAGCAGAAGTAGTTTTCAGATCTTCCTTTAAGGAAGTACGAATTCCTAAAAGCACAGAATTAAGCGTTGAACTCCATTGCAAATTTTCATTACAAATGAATCCAGTCTTTAAAGTGCGGGGGAAACGTTCAACTAAACCATTGGATTGTGGGTGAAACGCCGTGGTGATTTTATGTCTTGCTCCAAGAAACTTCGCGAGATCACGAACAAGTGATGATACAAATTGACGCCCTCTATCAGAAATAAGTATATTTGGGCATCCAAAACGACAAACCCAAAAGTCATAAAGCGTTTTGCAAACTGTTTCAGCTTTAATAATCACTATAGGGAATGCTTCCGCCCATCGACTAAATCGTTCGATACAAGTG